CTTTTACATATTCAAATCCATGGAGGGTAAACCACTGCAAGTAGCCCATCCTCCAGAAGAGCCCACTAGAAACACAGGGAACCAGGCAAACAAAGGTTTGTAAGTGTTTCAAAACTAAGATACTCTGGAGGACCCAGAGGCTGAGCTGGAAGAGAGCAGGGTAACCATCATTGGTTCTCATTGGTGGTTTTGTATAGCTAGAAAGATTAAGACACAAGAGCCCAGACACCGTTTCTGTTTAAGCATCACTTCCCTCCTCTCTCTACTTTCAATTTTCTCTTCTATCTCTGGACAGAGATGTCACACAGACTTTGAGAGCAGTTTGAGGTGACTCTAGAGCCTGACTCTCTGAGGTGAGGCTGCAACTGTGATCATGCCTGGTGCCTGCATTAAGAACCACTTTATGGAGACACTATGGAAAGATTATAAAATCGTTTTGGTCAATGAAATACTATTGAACTATAATGATGCTGGCAGTAAACGTATTTGCTAATTCCTTGATGTTTCAACTGTGTATAAAAGTATAAATGCAACCGAAGTGCAGAGTTCACATTATATTTTAAGTGAACCGACGGGACTGGAGGAAAGGAAGAGCAAGTCAGCACCTTACAAGTGAATTTGCTCTCCAACGGCACACTTAACCCTCAGAGGTGCAGTACTTGGAGACCAGGAAGGAGCCTTCAGTACATTTCCCAAGACCAAGTCACTACACTGTTCCATGCCTCAGGTGTGGGTGTTTGGCCTGCAGGACACTCTTCACATGCTCTCCAGGACCAGTGGCTCTTTCTAAGTTTGCCTTCAAGAACCTTGTGACGCCTTCCAAATTCCGGTTCTCTCTACCATGGTCCACCCTCACCTTCATCACCACGGCATCCATTTCTTCACTTACCTAGTATGCACTGAACAATCTAGAAAGGATGCTAAACTCTCTAATGGCTGTCCCGGGGCACTTTGTTTGATGGTAAGATTGCATCTCTGCCTTGACCTTTTGGTAACCATTAGCACCTTGTAGCCCTGGATACTTGAAATGTGGCTAGTAAAGCACAGAAATTGGACTTCCGGTTATCTTTAACACAGCACCTGCACACGTTATGAGGCTACTATGTTAGATGCTGCAACTCAGAAGCTAAAGAGTCAACAGAATACATATTCCCCTGGAGAATAGTAAAGGCATCATGTGACCTGTGACCCCACTAAGGCATGGTACACTCTCATCCTTCACCAACAAGGACATAATGGGTTGTCCCTGAGTGTCCCCTGGGTACCTACCACCAGGCAGGTTCCGCTAACCCCTCAGAGAAGGCACACAACTGGTGAGGCTAAACCATGTGAGTCAAAGGATTAAAGAATGAGTCGATGCGTTTTACTCTAGATAGCAATCGCTCTTGGATAGGCTCTGCATGTGGAACATGAGGAGAGAAGCCAAAGATATTAACTGTAGCCCTGGCTTCATGGATGCTTCAAGCACTTTTGTCACTAATTCCCCTCGGCTTTTTCAGTCTGAGAACTGCGATTTTGTTTGCCATTTGCAAAAACATGAATGTGTTGATGGACAGGAGTCCAACTGTGGTGGTTCACAGTACTCCAAGTGCATAGGTGAGGGCAAAACTTCTCTCCTCCTCCTCCTCCTCCCAAGGTGATGCCCATCAGCAGAAGCTGCATACACAACATGAGTTTGGCAGGATCCACACCCCAGACACAGTCCCAGAGTTTCTCCAGGTCTCTGGTGACCTGAGCAGGCTCCCGAGTCAGCTTCTAACATAGGGTGAAATGTGTCTGGACTCAGAATTTGTTGTCACATTAAGAGTGGACACCAGGAACTGGCAGTTAGTGGGAGAAGTCAAGGAGTTTGCATATGGCTGAGGTGGGACTATTCTCACTGTGCCTTAAGGACACAGAGAAACCAGAGCAACAAACAAAATGAACTGGCAAGAAGGGTTAGTGTTTGAGGCCAGTGAATCCTACAGTTATCACACTGCACCCACATTTTCAAAAAAAGCCATTCAAAATATAAGTGTACTGGAAGGCTGAAGCCTACACTTAAATAATGTGTGCCAATAAAGAAAATGGTCACCGTAGGAATTCACCCTAAATGACCTCAAACATTAGGGCTGTGAAGGTCTAACAGTAATTCGTCATGTAGCTGGGTAAACTTGGGCCTTGCAATGTTTACAAGGCATAAGTGCCTTAGCACTCAGACACATGCATGAGGGGCCTATTACTGGCTTGGGATTATCCTAAGTTCTTGTCTTCTCAAATAAAAGAATTTGGCCAAGAGATATGGATAGTTTAGGAGCAGAGTCAATGCTTTTCAGACAGCAAAGATAGGGCTGATGAGAGGGCCTGGAAAATAATAACATTTATGGAGGTAAGATGGCTTTCTTTTTCCTTCCAAGATAGTGAGCCAGACAGATCTCCATTTTAGGCTGTTTCTTCCTATGGTCCTCTTGAAAGGCCCACGAGTACATGAAAGCAACAATGTAGATGGTATTATAATAAACCCCGAGTCTTTTGAGGCTGCAGACCCTTCTTTGGTGTGCATATATGGCAACTGGGAACATCCTTGATATCTTAGTTTATAATCTATCAGGCAGAAACTGAGGGTAGCATCAGGGTATCTTAACCATAAGGGGCCATCTGACCATCTGGAGACACAGCCATCAAGATATGATCACATGTCAATGAGAGCAGAGGATATTATATATCATTTTGCAGCAAATACTGTCACAGGCTGAGGACCTAATCTGAGCCAGGCACTGAACTCACCTCATGTTTATTTTTTTACATTTCATGATTAAAGTACCAGTGTCAGATAGACACTTTTCTTTTTTGGTGACTCTGAGGTACAAAGTTTAACATCTATCCAAAATGATTTGACTCATAAGCCCTGCCCACAGACAAGCTCCAGTCACCATGTCATGCAGCCTGACTTCAACACCCACCCTCAGCTCTGTTCATAAGAGGTTGGAGCCTATTATTGCCATGGGGTCTCAGAGTGCAGGGGAGGCTCCCTTGGACTGTAGTGTGCTGTATCTCTGCAGTCAGCCATCGGGCCATCCTCCTCAGTGCCTGGTCTGTTCCACTGCCTGATTACCACACAGACATTCCTTTACTGGCCATCTCCAGCCTCACATCAGTTCATCATCCGAGCAGCTTACCATGACCTTTCCAACACACAAAGCCAATGGCATCAGAAACTGTCTGCGAGAGCTCAGATAGAGCCCCACAGTCCACGGCTCCTGCCTGGCACATCACACGGTCCTCCTTATCTTCCTCCCTCGCCCTAATGTCTCTCAGCTCCCCGGGGCTTATGTTTCAGTTTTCTGAACTACATTGTGCTTTCTCTTACATTCATATTGTTTGCAGTTTATTTTTGATGTGTGTTAAAGTGTCTTTTTCTCTGCTAGATGGCACTTTCCTACTCTTCAAAGTTCTTCTCAGAATAACTTCTTTCTGGTGGTCTTCCTGGCGTTTGACTGTCTGCCCCTTGGATACGGTGCCCTCCACATATTGTATGAGAGGATTCACCACCCTTAATTCATTCATTTGATCTGAATTGGTTCAGTGCCACAATGGCCAAGTGTTTATTGTATAGCACAGTGAGGGATTAGAAATGATAACCACTGACATGTCAAAGTCATTATTGGATCTCAGCCCTGTCCCTTTCTATCAACATCTGATAAATAGCACAGGATTTCCATAGGATAACACTGGATGACCAAGATCTGTGATCGTGTCACCATTCCTAGTTTCCAAACTGAGTGTCTTCGTTAGGGTTTCTGTTGCTGTGAAGAGACTCCATGACCACAGCAAGTCTTCTAAAGAAAAACATTTAATTGGGGTAGGTTACAGTTCAGAGATCTAGTCCATTATCGTCATGGCAGGTGGCAATGGTGGCATGCAGTCAGTCATGGTGCTTAAGAGTTCTACATCTTGGTCACAGTTGCAGCCGAAGCAACTGTGTGCCACACTGAACATAGCTTTAGCAAAGGAGATCTCAAAACCCACCAACACACTGACACACTTCCTCCAACAAGGCCACACCTCCTAATAGTGCCACTCCCTATGGGGGCCATTTTCTTTCAAATCACCACACTGAGTCAGCCCAAGTCTGAAGAAATCTTCTATTTGTACTGACTAGTTAAAAGGAAAAGTCAAGTGACATTCTAAACACATGCATTATTTCCCATAGCATTTTTGTATCTCCCTCTGCTCCTTAAGCACATACAGGCTTTCCAGGAAGAAAAAAAAATAAAACTAAACAGGCAACACAGTTTGGAGAATCATCTTTTCTCAGGGAAAGAATATAAGCTCAGCTTGGAGGGAGAGTCTGACCCAAATTCATCTTGATTTAATGGCCACTTCCCGCAATCCCAAAGTCATTCTCTGGGAGCTAGGGGTGGAAATGACATTGTCTAAGGCTGACAGTGACCAGCCTTTAAACATGGCAGAAGCTATCATCAACATCTGTGGTTTTGTCTGCTTCTAGTAGGCTTTCACATCTGAGGATAATATTGTGTCTTCAAAATATACAGACCCAAGTACTTTTAGAGGATGCACATCCTATATTTCTATAAATCAGTATAGGTTAAAATGATGTGCATAAAACATATATGTAAACATCATGTGTGATATAGATATAGTAAAATATTTAGTAATTTGAGTCTGAACTTTCACCTGCCTGAGAAGCATCTGGCGAAAGGGTTTTATAACCATCCTCCTTAACTAAGGTCTCTATGCCATTTGGAATCACAGCAATGGTGAGATAGAAGAGTCCAATTACATGCTAATGGTAGTTAAACAAATGCAAGCAGTACTTCGATGCCATGTCGTTTTCATTAGCAGAACTGTTATGTGAGAGAACAGTATTATCCTGGCCCTTTGAGTTTGCATGGTGACATTTATTATGCTCAATCCCAAATATCTGCAAGGCAGCCCGTTGCTCTGATATCCAGTCAGTAACACCAATCTCTTTCTCTGCCTTTTTTTGTTATCATCAGTGTATATGGTTGTCCCTTGGCTAAAAAAAGGAAAACGCAAGATAAACAGCCCCAAGAGCCTGCTCCGAAGCGAAAACCATTTGCAATGAAAGCAGATAGTTCCTCAGTAGACGAGTGCTTTGAGAGCGACGGCACTGAAGACATGGATGACAAGGGGGAGGACGAGGAAGAGGAGTTCTCCGAGGACAACGATGAGCAAGGGGATGAGGATGATGACGACGAAGAGGTGGATCGGGAAGACGAGGAGGAGATCGAGGAGGAAGATGACGACGACGATGATGATGAGGATGGAGATGATGTAGAAGAGGAAGAGGAGGAAGAGGAGGAAGAAGAGGAAGAGGAAGAAGAAGAGGAAGAAGAAAATGGTAATCTTTAAATACTAACAAAACCTAGGCCACGGTTTGGGGTCAGTTTTCTGTGTGAATCTTCTAGTGTTAAAATCCTTGGCGTCCTAACAATTCCAGGACTAGGGTTTCTCAACACCAAATGGATAGACTGCCTGCGTGAACGTAAAGTTTGCCTCAAATGATCCCTTTATCATCCAGGCTTCAGATTTCTGTCAAATTGTTATTTAGATTGGTTGTCATGGCAACTCGCTGAGATATTTGTGGCGAAATGTAGGAAGAAATCTAGTCTAGCGTGTCTGGTGTTTAAGTTATCCTGTCCGAGAGGCACTATTGACTGACTCAAGCATGGCTGTTGGCATAGCCCTAACCTCCGTGCCTCCAGTGTGTGAGCTGGGGAGGAAGATTCTATCTGTTGCTAGTGAAAGTCATCCTTTGATGACTGTCACGTGGCTGGAATGAAAACAGCTACTACTTTTAATGGAAATGGTTGGGGGATTGGCTGTGTGCTTCATGTTTGAGAACCAGGTTTCTAGTCTAAGGCAGAATACCATGAGTTGCTCAAGCAAAGTGTAAGCTTACTGTGTTGTGTATGGGTTGCTTCCATAATGCAATCGAGAGGATTCACTTTTGTGTCCAGTTTTCTATTAGCCCACGACTCAAAACTATGATTTTTGAACCCTATCCTAAAAATCCCTTCTGGGAAGAAGTGATGATTTTCTCATGATCCTAGATATAGCTTTTTTTGACTTGGGGTTTGTCTCATAGAAATACTAAAAATGATGGTAACGTGATGAGAATACTTTTTTCTCACCCTTGTTCCTTGGGCTAAAAACATCTTCAAAAACATTAATTCTGAAACAGCTAACTTCCAGGTACAAAACCATTATCTCATCTATAGGAGGGAACACACCAACATGTTTAGATCATGCAAGTGAACCAGGCATCACTACTCCTATGCACAGGCATAAATAAGCATACCTCATTCCAAAGTCATGACCATTTGTGTTAGAAAGCACGAACTTTATTGGACAATCCTACTTTGTTACAGAGGTTTAAAGTTACTATGTTAACAATTTGCTACTCACATTTTTCCTGTGTTCTTTCATATGGTATTACAGAATGCTTAGCAAGGAGAAGTTTAACAAATTACATCATAGCCCATGCCAATAACTATTGCAAATGCTGCCCAGTGTGCTTTGGACAAATGTACTGATGTCACTAATGAGCATCTAAGAATTAACTCATAGCCCTATGAAATGAAATGTGTGGAAAGATGTAGAGGAGACCAGTTAAGCAAATATTTAGGGACACAATATCAGCTGTGTGCAATCCTAAATGATATCTTAGCTGTCAGGGCTGATGAGTGATTTGTATCTTGGCTGTGTGTCATCATTGCAATTATAAGAAATACTCTTGCATATTCTCATCGTTGTTGGGAAGCAGGAGACACTAGTGTTCAGGGTTACAAACATTCAGTATGCACAGAGTCTTGTCCAAATTTAGAATCTGCTCCACTTTTTAAGCTTAAATTCTTTAGTTTGGTTTGCTTGGGGGTCAGAATTTAGGTAATCTACCTTCACGTATGCAAAGGGACATGCTTGGAAGTACACAGAAGTCTTACTGAAATGTGTAACAATGTGGCCACACAGGCTTCAGCTGTTCTGGCTTCAACACCTAAATCCTGGGTGCATAATGGGCTCAGCAGCAAATCAGAATCAGGAGATTTTAGCTGGAGTGTTTCAAACAACTGAACATCACCAGCAGACATAGGACAGAATCACCAAACAAGCAACTCCATAATAACCACACAGGCCCCAGATGTTTACATATCAAGCACACCTGGCTTGGCACCTACTCAGACATGCCTCACGTGCTGAGTATAACCAGTGTGTGGAAGCAGAACCCTGTCAGAAGGGAGCAGGGCAGCCCCAGAGATGTAGTCAGCCACCGAGGTGCTCTTTTCAGAACATCTGCTCCCCAGATAAGCACCTTCTACAGTCACCTACCAGGTGAGTTACAAGACCCTTTGAGTTATTGAGGAGGAGCTTGGCACATGACCTGTTGTGAGACTAGCTTGTGTGACCCCAGTGAGGCAACATTCTTACCCTTGCCAACATCCTTGGTAGAGAGTAAGGCCCTTTGCCCCCTTGCAAGCCCTCTCCATGTGCTTCCCAGACACAGGCACTGCTGGTGTGGAGGATCATCCTCTGTGGTTCTGACTGTTGTGGTTGCTCTGGAGGGGATGCCAAAGGTTTGTTTGGTTCCCCAGATCTTTGACCAACAATGAACCACACTATCAGCCCAGCTCTATGAGCCCAGTTCATGGAGAATCCCTCAGAAGCTTCTGGTGTGGAGAGAAGTCTTCACTGAAGAGCATGTGAACTTGTGTTCCAAGACACAGTTTAACTAGCATCATATAGTCATGTCTTAGTGTTTTTATATTATAGGTATTTCATAACAAACAGGCCAGGGTTGGGAATCTCCATCAAAGGAACTCCAGAGCTTTGTTGACAGATCAGCTATCTTCATGATCAGACTCTTACCTGTGCTTACATTGCTAAAGTGAGGTTTGAGAGGCAGAAATCCACCAGGCTCCTGTTTTCATATCCTCACTGTGAACACCCTATTTTTAACCATACTGTGGATGTCAGTGCCCAAGCGTCTATCAATAAATACAGTCCTGTTACCAGTTAGCTCTACCACACATCTGGAAAGCACAGTGAACGCAAGGTTCCTGCAGTACACAAAGCCACCTTTTTTAGTGCTAGTCACTATCCTGAGGTTTTTGTCTTTGTGTCCCCTTGGTCGACATCAGAACCCCATCACAGGCTGAGGCTGTAGCAGTCTCCTCTAAGGTTGGCTGTGCCTCATTCCTGCCATACAGGTATAGACCGTGACCTCAAGTGAGAAGCAAGGAGGACCGAGAGCCTCATGGGGACAACTTCAGCAGCCCATGTTGAAGCATGATTTGGATACAACTTAGACAAATGCCATAGTGGAGCAGATGGTGTCCAGCATGCGAAGTCGGGGCAGTGATATGGGGTAGGGTAGAAATGTGAAATGGCATCAGCCTGACGACCAGGCAAGAAACCTCAAGTTACCTGTGCTGATAACTGCGTCCACCCAGCAATCACTTTCTCTTGACTATAATTTGAAATGTGTCTATTTTGTTTCACATAGAACGCATTTACGCAGATCGAGTTATTACTAAATGAGTCCACCACATGTAGAAGAAACACTATTTAGAACATAGGAATTGAGTATTTCATTTCCAGGATCTTTGAGCATGGCAATGACACATAAACCAAATGGGCCTGACACTGAATACCCTTTGAGTACATGTATTTACAAAAATTGTATGTTTCATAAAGTGGATAAATCACAGGCTAGTCTCTTCCATAGTCTTATTTTCAAAATACATAGTGAAAAAGAATAATAATTATCCAATTCCATGTTTATTAAATAATAACTATCCATCCTCAAGGTGAGCTACCACTCTGTGGCCATAGAGTCTTTATTTGCATATTTGGTACATACTATGGTTAAAAGTCTTTCGGGATCCCTGTGATGAGAAATACAAATTCACTGCATCGATAAAACATATAAGGTGTGGTTTATCTTCACAGTCCATCCCCCCAAAAGAATAATCATTTAAAACAACATATGCAGATAGACAAATATATTTTACATATACATTTATGCATGTCCTTTTGTGCCCATGTTTCACCTCCCCATAAAAAGGAAGATAAAGTCTGAGGAAGAGCTAGGCAGTGTGTGATCTACATTAAATAAAACCAAACCACTACCCTCCTTATCTTTAAATGCTCCACTGCAGCAACTGCTAAAATGATGTCTACTTCTGGCATCTCGGGACTGCCCTAAGCACTGTCCCCACAATCACCGGGTGAATCGGTGCAGGTGGCACTTCAGTTAGGGTTACTTGGCCTTCATATCATATCATTTTGCAGCCATGGGTGTGGTATCCTTGCAAGCTCATTCTGGGGAGTGGATGGTTGTGAATTCTGATATTAGGAACTTTCTCTACTATGCCTGACAGTTGCTCCAGGCCAGTCAGAATGGAAACACATGGTGTGGAGGCAAAGTGGGAAGAGCTGCTTTTCTTAGAGCAATGCAGCTTCCTCTGCTGTCCCTGAAGTAACTGGGGGACTGGCGGTCCACACCTACAGATTCTGATTGGGGACCCTGTTCTCCCAGCCCTTACTGTGAAACCACAGACCTGTCCATGAGACTGTCTTCACTGAGATGATCCCACTCTTCAGTAAGTCCGTTTCAAAGGCCACAGTGTGTGAATTTCTACTCACAGAAGCATCTTTCTAATTGCAAGATTTCCCAGGGTGTTAACAGACCGATGTGCACGGCCCCCAGCTGTACTCATGTCCTGATCTGGGTGAGGCAGTGTCTAGTGTGATCATGAGGGAAGGGGATAAAGGTGCTGAGCTCTCTGCACTGAGGCCTCACAACTCCCCTGCCTCCCCTTAGGGCGCTGCTCTCCATATTGATTAGCCAATTATCCTTCTGTATATTTCCCAGGGACAGGTCCCTGATGAGGGAAGCAGGCTGAAATGCAGACAGACTGTGAAAATCAGAATTAGCCAGCCAGTGTTCTACTGCAGTCAGCAGAAAAAGCAATGAGTTCTGAGACCAGCGCAGCACAGAGATGATGCGTTTAGTATGCAAGGTTTCACCTGAGGAAGGCTGTGGTCACAGTTGGGAGAATGAATATGGGTGGATTTTATCTTCTTAAAATTAACCTTCCCAACACACACAAAAGTCTTCTGTGGGAATGCAAGTGTGCTGAGGTAGATCGTGCTGTGGCATGAGAATAAGAAAGCCTTTAGCCTCAAGTAGGGTCTTTCTAACTGTCCATAATAATAATTTTAAAAAAAAACCCTGCTCCATGTCAACTAGTTTTTGATGTGATAATATATTACATCAAACTTCATGAATGGTTGAGTATATTGAGGCAAATCAGAGACTGTAATGAAAATGTGATGCTT